CATATATATATTCTAAAATGCTATTTTTTAAATCACCATCATCACACCACTGTTGATCATACTTTACAAGTACCCTTATTCATTTAGTATCAAATATATTTTTTTCAAAAACCCTTTTCGAAGTTTGCCCACCTAGTCTAATCCACTAGATAATTGATTCATTTTGTTAGCTGCATTCTCCTTTCAAATACTGTGTGTTTCTCTCAGTGGATGTGACTCTGGATGCTGATACAGCTCATCACCATCTCATCCTGTCTGATGATGGAAAGCAAGTGACACATGGAGACACAAAACAGAATCTTCCTGACAACCCAAAGAGGTTTGTCCATGTGTCCTGGGAAAAGACGGATTCTCCTCAGGAAGATTTTACTATGAGGTGCAGGTAAGCGAGAAGACTAAGTGGGATTTAGGAGTGGCCAGAGAGTCCATTAAGAAGAAGGGTCAGCTTACACTGAGCCCTGTGAATGGACTCTGGACTGTGGTTCTGAGAAATGGAAATGATTATGAGGTTAGTGCTGGTCACCCCATTCCTCTCCTTGTGAAAGAGAAGCCCCAGAAGGTGGGGGTGTTTGTGGATTATGAGGAGGGTTTGGTCTCCTTTTATGATGTGGAGTCCAGATCTCATATCTACTCTTTCACTGGTCAGTCTTTCACTGAGAAACTCTATCCATACTTCAGCCCCTGTAATAATGATAAGGGTAAAAACTCAGCTCCCCTGATTATCTCACCCGTATAAAAGACTGAATAATTATACAGTATGCAATGAGAAGAGTAGGAAAATATTTCTGATTCTATGCATAGGAAAGTGTAGTACCATGATGTAACATGACCTTTATTCTCTCATTGTAAATATATGAAGAAGTAGACCATCCAAGTGTGATCTGCAGTCCATGAGAGCAAAATTTCCAATTGGAGGGATGATTAAAATTTAGGGGTATTGAACTCATGTACACATGGCGTAAACCACAGAGTTTAGTGTCACACTTTAAAAAATTTTATGAAGTGATTTTTTTTTAAAAAAAAAACAAATTCTGTATCCTTTGGAACTTTTCCTTGTAGTTTCAGATGTTACATGCAGAAAACATGCTCTCCAATAAATTAACCTGTTTTGAGAATTTATTAGTATGAAACCAGTTGATTTAATGTGAAATATTAGTATTAACGTTGTGAGTGAGGAGCAGTTCAACTCAATAATTTAGATGCAGTTTTCTATCTGTTCATATAAACTTTAAAAAATCCAAACAAAAAACATGTAGTGGCTGGAAACTGACAACAATTAATATTGTAAGAAAACTGGCAAAAATACTTTTGGGATAAATTTCCCTTTACTGTCATTACAGGTGAAATTTCACATATTACATCATTTAATCTTGAGTAACAGCCCTAAATGTGAAAGTAGACATATAACAATATTTCCAGCTTAAGTAACAGTCTTAAATGTGACAGTAGACATATTACATTATTTACATAGGTAACAGTCTTAAATGTGACAGTAGACATGTTGTATTATTTACATAAGTAACAGTCTTAAATGTGACAGTAGACATGTTGTATTATTTACATAAGTAACAGTCTTAAATGTGAAAGTAGACATATTACATTATTTACATCTTAAGCAATATAAGATGTAAACAATAAGTACATGTACAGTATACATTTCTGGAGTCAGTTGCTATGTAATCTGTTAGAGATATACTTTGTTTCAGAGACCCAACAACTTCACCACAGTGATGTCAGGTCCTGTTCCTTAAATTCTTGTTACTTGCTGTTGGGAATAAATCAAACAAACAAGATGATTGACTGATTTTATTGCTTGGTTTGCATATCTAAAGTGTTGAGCACTGTCAAACACCTGAGCTTCAGGCCTCTCCTTAATTATGGACATTGACCCTGTATTCCTCACTTTACAATAAAATCTTCCATATTCACTGATCAAAGAGTTAATGGTGAAAGGAAGCATTTGAATAATCCAATAAAAAGCTTGTACTTGTCTCCAAAAAACTTGAGAAAAGGTGACATCTGGTAAAATGTAAACTAATTCTATATTATGAGCGATTGCTTAAATGTATACATGAAGAAACATTGTGCAGCACTGGAATGAGTAAAGCCTACAGTAGCAAGTGAGATGTCTCTTAAGTTTTATGCTGGTTTGCACTGTTACTTGTGGTTTTCAGTGAATGTTTAGTGTGCAAAGCAAAACATTACTCCACAATGTTGCATCAAGGTAATATTGTTACACTGAAAATAAAATGATATAGAAAGAATGCCTGTGTTGACTTATTTTCTCAAATATTTGCTTATTATGTAAATAATGGATTACTTTCTCAAAATAATAGTGACTATCTTGAAAAATAACGTTTTCTCAAAACCTAGACTTATGTTAAAATAACTACTTTCTTCAAATTTAATAGCTCATTATTTCAACATAAAAAGTCAAAAGTACCTTTTTCTCATTTTCTCATTGGCTATCTTGTGTGATAACATTAATGAATCTTCGCTTTTAACATGCTATAAGCAGAACTGGAAATGTAGCAAGTGTTTGCAACAGAAACAGACTGAAGAGAAGAGTTTCCATTCCCAAAGTCCACATCACCTGTGCAGAGAAATGTGAAGAGCATTCAGGGGGTGAGTCAAGATGGTGGGTCACAAACCTTAAACTACATTTTTCGGATGGTTCTGACTCAAAAAAGGGTAAAAACCACTGTTCTACCATTTAACCTGTATTGTTGCCCCTAAAATGCTCCCATAAACGTGACAAAATCATTAAGTGACAAATTGGTTGTTTATATATTAAACATTAAATCATTTTCACGACAGCATTATTAATATATTTTTCTGACATATAGAGACAATTTGAAGTAACTATTATCCAGGACTTCAGAGCCAGTTCTAGGTTGGCTAATATTAGCATCTTGTTTCTGTTTTTTGGATTTGTTAGACACCAGTGAAAACCCTCAGCAGACTACAGCTTGTCACTGAAACTACTCACACTCCCACTCAGTATTGGTGTAACAATAGTTTGCACTGAAAGAGTTTTGCAACATGTACACTGTGTTTTTTGTACAGTCCTACTGTCCGTATTGCCTGTGCAACGCAGACAGTAAAAAGCTCTGTCACACCTACAGTCAGTCTCTGATATACTGATGTGTCTTTAAAGTGCTTGGTGTGTAATGTGAGACCGCACTATGACAGGTACTGATTGTTATGCTGTGTGAATTACACTCTTTCACCATTCACTCTCAACTGTTCTCACTCGTTCACAGTGCAGGATTTTGTACCGGCCACTAGATGGTAGCACAGCAATAGCTCATGAACAGTACTCCCCTCCTTTCTCTCTAATGCAGGAGTTTTCCACCCTAAGGGCTTTCCCACCTGTGTATAACCAGAGAACTTGTAGAGAGGAGAATTACCGCTCTGCAATGTCTTCCGGTTTTCTCAAACTCTAGAGGGCGCTCCCGAGTGAGTCCAAAATGAATGGGTTGATATGGAGCATTTGAGTAAAATCATAGTTTATAAATGCTTAAACATTTTTAATGTAAAAGAATACAATCATTTCCTGAACACTGAATATCATAAAATATTTTAACACCGCTGTTATATTTTTAAGAGCTTTTAAACTCGAGTTATAGGAGTTTAAAACGGCACCTCATGCGTGTTCATGACGTCAGTGAGCGCGAACAGCCAATGAGCTGCTCCGCTCGCCAATCAATCATCACGCTCTAGCAGTAAAGCCCGCCTCCTGCTGCCCAAAACCCATTTGCTGTAGAAAAAGGAAACATATAGGTGAGTTTTCTTTGTTTTTTAGTGAAATACATCCTTCTACTTTCTAAAATTAAAGAAACGTTCTGGGCGAGTAATTAGAAACTATTTTATCTTTCGTTCACTCGCGGGCGCCCTCTGCTGTTGAGCAGTCCTGTTTTTGATATAACGGGAGGAATAGGGAGTGGCCGGGCTCCTCATAAACCGGCTCTGGTATAACTACAAAGCACAGCGGCCCACCGGAAAACTAAAATAGGTTTTTTTAAACACAACTTCATTTTTCTTTTCTTAAATGCTTACACTGAAAACATGAAAATTAGGTCAGATTGGCCATTCTGGCTGTCAGTAGGTTTGCAAAATTTGCAGGTATGTTATAAAACATGAAACATGTCAACCACATGGTTGTAGTGATGTCAAAAGGGGGTGAAAAGAAAAAAAAATATGTACAAGGTAGATGTGATTTGGAGCTGAAGACAATCGTATTTTGACTGAAAATACTCCACTGGCTTTTTGAGGGTTTTTGTGATTCATTTGAAATACTGGGCTTTTGGATTAGCGTCGTTATACTGGTTTATCAGTTCGAGTTTAACCGCTCAGGTCGCTGATGCTCGACCAAATATACGCTCCGCGATCCATGCGTTGAAATCAAAACACATATCAGCTTTATTACTTTATGGCTCGTCTGTTGTTTTTAACAGCAGCTTGTGCTCCGTGTCTAAAGAGTCGGTCGTTATGCTGACTGTACAGCGCCGTCCTGCCTCTAGAAGAGAAGGAAAGCCTGCCCTGTTGATGAACTCCCTCGTTTGATCACAGAGCGCGTTTCCGTTAGCAGTGAACTGAACACGGTTGAGCTGTTTGCTGCAGACCCGAATACAGGTGGAGTGATAAAGGTGTGATAAGCGCCCTGAGAGCGTTGTCACAGACTGATGACGTTTAATTAGCCCACTACTGTGGCGTTTTTAATTGTACGTCTCTTTTAATATTTATAGTGGTTACACCGTGAAAACGTTTACTTCTCAGATTTTTAATTATTTAATTATTCTTTACTTATGTTTTTATGACCTACACTGACGTTACCGGCCCGACTTACTCCCTCAGAGTACAGGCCCGCGGACCACTAGAGGGTGCCTGATCGCAGAGTTAGATCGCAGGAGTGGCTCCCGATTGGTCGATGGCGGTGACGTATTGATCACGTGATTAGCGGTTGCATTCTGGGAATTGGAGTTTTGTGGGAAGTCAGCCTCTGAAGCGACCGAGCCGGTGGAAATCGTGACGCAGTTATATATATTTATATCTTATAATTATGCACAACAAAAAAGGGCACCAAATAACACTGTCTCACAAACAGTCTGAGTTTTGACACCAGTTGATAATTTTAAATCCTTTCACAGACTCTATCTGCATCCAATACAGTTGTAAATAATGTTTTATTTTTATTTAAAATTTGCATTATCCATCGATCAACGTTTCACGTTTGACTAGTTTATTGAGCGGAAGAAGTGGTTCACACTGCAGTTCTCCTGCATCGGTATCCATACCAGGAAAAACAACGAGTCATAACAAGGAGGGCCAATGACATTGCAGAGGAAAGTGATTTCCTCACTGGTTCACGTCGATCAAGAAGCTATAGTTTCACTTTGCAGTGCATTAAAAAAAAACAAACTGTATGAACTGAAGCAGCTCTAACACTCAGGTAAGTGACTGAATTGGGGGGTTGGGGGTTATGAACATTGATATGTTTGCTTTGGGTGTCCCATTTGCCTTATCTGGCATGAGCAAACAAATGTTTACAATGTTTACAACAATTTAAGTAGGCCAGTATAATCCAGTGAGCAAATCATTTTTAAAAAGGTTCTATATAGTAATGCAGTGTAGAACATTATATAGAACTCATAGTTCTAAACAGAACTATTGCCTTTACTAAAGAACCCTTGAAGAACTATCTTTAACTAAATTATCTAGGTCCAACTTAAACCTGTAACTTGCGCTGCTTCTTCTACTTTCATTAGTTGGACGTAACCATATTAAACTGAATGTTGGAGTGACACATAAAAACGATAAGTCCAGTTTACTCAAATCACTTTCGTGTGATTTGCTTGAATTCACTGAGTACGTATTACTCTATCAAGTATTTTAAAAGCTATTTAGCACAGTTCCATGGAACCCCATAACATAATGTTTTTAAATAAATTCCATATTTCATTTTTGTGAGTAAATGAGGTGATGTCTTTCTGAAAAGGTTTAAAGTGGAAGAAGTGAAAATGGCAGAATCCTCATCACTGCACTTAATGAAGAGCATGGAAGAACCAGCTAAGTGTAAGTTCCAGTCTGCAAGAAAAGGAAATATACACAATTTACCTGCTCTCCTTGCTCTTCTTTTTTGGTCGAGTATACATTGTTGTTTCCTCAGCAATGTTAGTATTATAAATTACGGAACAGTGCACTGTGACATATTTCCCCCTTATTTTTTCCACAGTTGCACGTGACTCCAGCAGTTTCCTGTCTGAAGATCAGTTCCTGTGTTCTATCTGTCTGGATATATTAACTGATCCAGTCTCCACTCCATGTGGACACAACTTCTGTAAAACCTGCCTTACACTGTACTGGAACAACACTCAACACTGTCACTGTCCATTCTGTAAAGAGAAATTCACCAAGAGACCTGAACTGAAGATCAATACAACACTGAGAGAGGTTGTAGACCACTTCAAGAACAAAGGAGATGTTGATAAACCTGTGATTCTTTGTGACGTCTGCACTGGCATGGAAGTTAAGGCCCTGAAATCCTGTCTGGATTGTGGTATGTCTTATTGTAAGTCCCATTTAGAGTCACATAAAGTTGCAAAGCTCAAGAAACACAAGCTAATCGACCCAGTGAAGAACCTGGAGGACTACATATGCCACAAGCATGAGAGACCCCTGGAGCTCTTCTGCAGAGATGACCAGACATGTGTGTGTCAGTTCTGCATTGAAGGAGAGCACAAGAATCACAACATTGTTCCTCTAGAGGAGGAGAGTGGAGAGAAAAAGGTAGTAGACACTTATTAACATTAACCATAAATATCAACCAAAGTAACTTTACTGTAGTATGGAAAGTGTAATAAGTAAGTTATTACCAAACATTCCTTAAGAAAACCAAGGCAACTATTCAACCTTTAAAATGTAAAAACAAACATGGGTTTCCTCTCTGCCCACAGACACAGCTCAGAAGCTTACACACAGGGGTGCAGCAGATGATCCAAGACAGACTGAAGAAGATCAAAGAGATCCAAAACTCAGCAGAGCTCAGAAAAGTGGGTGAAACGTAATAAAGGCTATAAGATTTCATTTTTAGAATATATCAAATCTAACATTAAACATATGCTTGTTATTTAATGTTTTTAAATTATCTTCTGCCATCAGAGAAACACAGAGAAAGAGAAAGCAGACAGTGTTGAAGTCTTCACTGCTCTGATGCGCTCCATTGAGAGAAGCCAAGCTGAGCTGCTTGAGGTGATGGAGGAGAAGCAGAAAGCAGCAGAGAGGCAGGCTGAAGACCTCATTAAAGAGCTGGAGCAGGAAATCACTGAGCTAAAGAGGAGAGACACTGAGGTGGAGCAGCTCTCCAACACTGAGGACCACCTCCACCTCCTACAGGTCAGTGGCCCTCTATGTGCTCAGTGACAATGTAGCACATCACACAACAACACTGCCCATGCTGAGGAATTTCTCTTCTCTCCTTTGGACTGTAGATTTACCCGTCACTGTGCAGACCTCCACACACCAACAACTGGACTGACATCAGTATTGACCCTCATCTGAGTGTAGAGCCTGTGAGGAACGCTTTTTCTCAACTTCAGAAAAGTCTGAATGAAGAACTCAGTAAAACTCTTAATGAGAAGCTGAGGAGAAAAGGTGAGAAACTGTCATATTTGGCATATTATCTTCTGTCAGAGCAGAGCTATATGAAAAGTGACTGAAATTTGATTAAAATCTAAGAAATATTATGTATAAATATAATGTATCTGTATCTTGCTAATGTAACATATCTCTCTACAGAACTGAAGATGATGCAGAAGTATGCAGGTGCTGTATGGTTTCTGTTTTTTCCTCTGTTTATATTAGATTCTATTGCATTTTATTATATTAAACTAGAGATGTCATGTTACCATATGTTTTTTTATGATACCGATACTGAAACCTTGAGAACTGACCAATATTGATCTGGTATTTCTTTCTTTAAAACCTACTAAACTTAAAAAGATATATGTACATAGGCTGGCCACTTCATTAAGTACACCATCTACACTCATTGTCTCATCATGTCCATTGTATCAGCTCCATTTACTATATAGGTGCTGATTATAGGATTACAGTCTGTAATTGTAAAACTATGTCAGCACCTATACGTTAAGTATATACATAATTTGTTTACCACATTTTGCCTTGTTCTTCAGCGTTCAAGATCCCCATCCCAGTTTTATTTGGGTGGTGGGTCATTCTCAGCACTGCAGTAATACTAACATGGTGGTGGTGTGTTAGTGTGTGTTGTGCTGGTACGAGTGGTAGTGCTGCTGGAGTGTTTAAACACTGCATCCACTCACTTTCCACTCTATTAGACACTCCTACCTTGTTGGTCCACCTTGTAGGTTTAAGGTCCGACACAGTAGCTCACCTGTTGCTGCACAGTTTGTGTTGGTCATCCTCTAATCCTTCATCAGTGGTCACAGGACGCTGCCCACAGGACGCTGCCCACAGGACGCTGCCCACAGGACGCTATTGGCTTGATATTTTTGGTTGGTGGACTATTCTCAGCAGTGACACTGAGGTATTTAAGAGCTCCAGCATTACTGCTGTGTCTGATCCAGTCATACCAGGACAACACACACTAACATGTCACCACCACATCAGTGTCACTGCAGTGCTGAGAATGATCCACCACCCAAATAATACGTGCCCTGTGGTGGTCCTGATCACTGAAGAATAGGGTGACAAGGGCTATATGCAGACAAACAGATGAACTACAGCCTGCAATTGTAGAACTTCAAAATGTTCCTATGTGGTAAGTTGAGCAGATGAAATGCATAAAGAATGTAGATACAAGGTACTTATGTACTTAATGAAGTGGCTGCTCAGCTTAAACTACTTAAACACTCTACAGTTCCTACTGTTATCACATGGTTGCCTTTTTTTTTACGACATATTTTACTTTGCTTCAGGTTAAAAGTCTAATTAAAACCAAAGGAGTATATAAAGCTCCATTATTCATGGATGTAATTATGCACACCATAAACAGTAAGTGCCGAGTAACTTTATTCATGCTTCTTCAGGTGTTGTAGTCAAAACAGGAAGCTCAGGAAATATCTAGGAAGCACTAAAACTAGGTACATATGAAAAATGAACACAGTTAACTAATGTAACACAAACAGGTGTTCACAAAACAGATGAAAGAATAATGTTACATAGACATTAGACATTAACTAGACACGTGCACATGATGAGGGTAAGGATCTAGGGCAGAGATGCCATGACAGTAGAGTTAGTCAGAGGTGTGGACTTGGGTTGATGACTTGAGACTCGACTCGACAAAAACAAAAAAAGACTTGTGGCTCGACTTTGACTTGTACACCAGTGCTTCAGACTTTGGCTTAGACTCGAGCCTTATGACTTGGAAAGACTCGAGACTCAAAGTGGAAAAAATGTGGAGAGGCGTCCGGCTGCAGATGGGATTCTCCACAACAGATGTCTCTTGATCTGAATGATTTTAACAGCTTCTGCAGTTAAAACAAGTGCAACATTCACAACTTTTCATTCCACCTTAAATGGTACAGCAGTTACATTTACAATTCAAACTAGGAGTTGTTTGTAGTTTGCTTAGTTAGTTTTAGTGCTAAACTTTACTTTTATGCTCCCAATGCTGCCAAAAATCGTCAAAAGTTATTCTGCCATAAAGATTTTTAAAATTAATTTCAATAGTACTTAGCAATAGCACTTAGTAATAGCATTCTTTTCATGTGTTGTTGCACTACTCTTTATGTATACCATTATGTCTGTCATGGTCATATAGTGCACCATGGATTTTGTTATTTATTTTGAAGGGTACATATACTACTAACATGAAATCATTAAAAGGCAATATTTCATTTACCTTCATTTTTGGTGTTAGGTGTTGAAATGGTGGAATTATTATATGGAGATGATATCATGAAAAAATATGATACAACTAATAGCCTTTCTGTTTCAGTCTTATGGACTTATGTCGACTCACTTTGTTGTTACTTTGTGTTTTAGTATTCCTTGTTTGTGAGTTTTGGCATCGAAGTTATAGCAAAACATGATCTGATTTTTTTCTGTCAAATATTAAAGGCACGCTAAAGCCATTAAAACAGCAAAATGAATTGTTCCAAATAGTGATGCCGCTTATCTGACTTCAAGAATCTTTCCTGTTCCTAAAATGTTTCTGTTAGTGTTTTATATGAACTGAAATTGTCTAATCTGGTACAGTGTGTTGCACCACATCAGACAATTCAAAAAAACTGTGAGCTTAGCTCCGTTTGCCATTGACATAAACCAAAGGTCCCATAGATTTACTCTGGCACAATTTAACCCCTTGTGGTCACCAACCTTCTCTAGATCCACCTCTTGCAGAAATCATTTCCAATCTATATGTAGCTCACATGATGCCAATGATTGTGATATTATAAACAAGTTGATTAACTGGATTAGGTATGCAGAAAGGTAGCTCTCCAGGAGGAGTCTTGGTGACCGTTGACATGAAGTACACTTTAGTCTTCTACAAGCTTTCTCAGAAATTTTACTTCACTGCATAATTTGTCACCTTCATACTCTTATCATATACTGTGTGTTTCTCTTAGTGGATGTGACTCTGGATCCAGACACGGCATATCCCTATCTCATCCTGTCTGCTGATGGAAAACAAGTGAGATGTGGAGACACAAGACAGAATCTTCCTGACAACCCAAAGAGATTTAATCAGTATGCCAATGTTCTCGCAAAGGAGGGATTCTCCTCAGGGAGATTTTACTATGAGGCACAGGTCAGGGGAAAGACTAAGTGGGATGTAGGAGTGGCCAGAGAGTCTATTAACAGGAAGGGTCCGATTACACTGAGCCCTGAGAATGGATTCTGGGCTGTGGTTCTGAGAAATGGGAATCAATATGAGGCTCGTGCTAGTTCTCCCGTTCCCCTCTACCTGAGACAGACGCCCCAGAAGGTGGGGGTGTTTGTGGATTATGAGGAGGGTCTGGTCTCCTTTTTTGATGTGGAAGCCAGATCTCATATCTACTCTTTCACTGGTCAGTCTTTCATTGAGAAACTCTATCCATACTTCAGCCCCCGCAATAATGACAAAGGAAAAAATTCAGCTCCATTGATCATCTCACATATTTAAGACTAAACAAATAATCAGCTTCACCCGTTCAGATGAGCTACTACAATCAAGTTAAAGTCAGTTTTCTTGGTAGCGAGTTTCACATGGTCTATAAGCTTGTCTATGTTGGTTATTAGCTATATACTCTTGCTGATCTAAGATGGGGGAAAGAAGGTGATTGACTCAATGGATATGTTCCCAGGGTCCAGTGTTCCCAGGATTCTATTTTGAAATGTCTAGGAAACAGCTCTATGTTTTCAGGGCTCTGTGCTCCCCAAGCCATGTGTTTTCTCTTTGTAATTTTGGATGCAGTCCTGTATTCCTATTGCCCTGTGTTCCCTCGTTGAAATTTTCATGGGAAAAAATGTTCCCATGTTGCCTAAATTATATAAATGTATTAGATTTACTCAACATTAAAGTGAGAGTACTGTCCATACCTTTACAATTGTACATATTCTAATGTCATATGTTCAGGAAATAAAATCTGAAATTGTTTTTAGGGACATCCTGCTTCCACATAGATCCTCCGATTAAACGAGAATGAGCATTTAAATGTGTTTAGTCAAAAAGTCATTAAAAATTCACAAAATTAACAACATTGAAAAACATTACTGCATTTGTGCTAACAGTGGAATCATTGAGCACATCCAAAATGACATTTACCCTCCATTTCAATGCTGTTTTCAACATGCCCTTGTCAACTTGCCCTCACAATTTCCCCTTACCATCTCAAGTGTTTTACTTTATTCTGATAACATGCTTGTTTGCAACGTAAGGGCTACACAACAAACAAGAACAACAAAATGAAGAGCAATACACCACTCTTAACCAGAGTGATTCTTTAAAGGTTTATGTATTCTTCTCAGAAAATAGACAATCACAAAGTTTGCTTAGCTATTTAGCTAGTCAAGGCTTAAGCTAGAGCTGAGGCAATGTGCTTTCCTATGGAAAAACCTGCACTTTCTTTCCTGTTTGACCTTTGGTGACACTATGTTAACATTAACCATAAATTTGGGAGCCCTTTCATTGGTTACTTAAATGCATCATTTAGATGTATTAATCAAAAAGCTGAGCGTAGGACCCTGGGAATATAAAAACGCTGGGAACATAGGAACACTCCCTTTTTTTTAGCAAGGTATAGCCTATTATTTGCAGAGTTCCCCAGAGACACTGCTGCAACTAGCAATCCATTTAGCTAACGCTAGAACCTTACTGCACACAACTAATTTGGATCACCAGAATCACAACTGTAAAGTTAGTTAATGGCTTGCTAATATTAGCTTGCAAAACCCATCACTGAAAAAAAAAACTAGCAAACTACTATAGTTAGCTAACTCTAGCTTGGTTGCTCATGTAGGTTTTAAATGGGCTTAGTGGGCTTTATTGTAAGCCCCATTTAGGCTACAGTTGTGGGCCCCAGTTAAGCTGTCCATACCTGACTATGTGTGGCTCCTGCATGGGTCCTATTTGACATATCTTAAAGTGCATTTAATTTTACATATTTTTCCAAACAAAATTGATTATTATTTCTGGTAGTTGTCTTCTAATAGTATCTTGGCTGTTTTTTAATAAATGCACAAATATGCAATAGTGCATGCTTATAAATGTAATAAAATATTGTAAATACAGACAGATTCATGCGGTACATAATTATCTGTTTTAGAGTACAAGAAAGAATGGTAGGGCTTGAGTATAGAACGTGAGGATAAGGCATAACCTACAATTCTCTCTGCTTTTCCACATAATTCATTTCAACTAATGACAAAAGACAAGTTTTTATAACTGCTTGGAAGTGGTTGGAACAGGTTCAAGATGTAAATGCAAAATGCATTCCAGGTCTCCCACCTTAGCTAAAAGGCTAACTGCTGAGGATTAATCAACAGAATTATGGAGGTAAGAAATTTTATTTAAATTTCACTGCTATTGCTACAAAATTGAATATGTTTTTGAAAGGATAAGCTATTAGGCAAAATGACATAGGATTAAGCCCCGGTGAACCTTAAACAAATTAAAAACAGACAGCTAGCCAACTGGCTAGGTTAACCATTAGCAGCTAGCTGTCATTTTATTTTTGAGAGTTTTAATAAAGAACAAAGTTTAGTAATATATATATTTTGTTAAACATGGAGTTGTGACCTCTGGTTTTGAAGTTCTAATACAAGCATAGGAAAAACACTGTGTAATTTGCAGTTTGGCAGATCGATAACAGGCTACCAAGGTCCTCCAGTACTTCACTCGAGGATGTAAAAGCAGGACATGTTGAGCTATGCAGGCATGGTTTTGCGCATTGTTGCATTCTAACACGTGTCACGACGTAATTTAAAATGCAATGTAATCACGAGCTGCATTCTGAGCATTACAGCAAGGGGCACTTTTTCCCTAATTTCTGCTTGTCTCTCCATTCTTCCTGCTCCTTTACTCGCAACGGTTTCTCCGTGTTCTTCTGGGGTAGAAGAGGAGCAGTAAGAAGGGAAGGGGAAGACAGGAGCAGTGGCAAAAATTTCTGGACGCAGCCACTGAATACTTCATTGAAAATTACAATATACAAAGTTAAAATATGTTAATTGAGTGTGTTATAAGCCTCAAATGCCCATTTCAAAGTTAGAATTGTCGTAAGTGGCATTTAACCCAGTGTAATAGAAATAGCATTATCATAGCAAAGACTACTTATAAAGTAGTGTCTGCATTAAACACTGCCATATATATGTGCAGCAGTCACTCGCTTACATGATAAAAAGTTACCTTTTTTTTACTTTGTTAAGCTCTAAACCAGTTAATCCATTTTAAAATGTGTTGCATTACAAAAGTCTCTGCACACTGTAACGCTATTTTTATTTATATTTGTTGAGCACAATGTATTCAATTTAATTGTACTACATCAAACAGTATGTAATGTAATTAACACATGAATTCACAGTTTATTCAAATAAAAAAAAATATTGGTTGACTCATTTCAATTTTAATTCATAGGTTGCTATATAATGAGAATACCAAAATAACTTTTTATTTTGCACTAATGAAACTGACTTGGCCTTCTATGGTTGATCTTATTGTGAAAAGTAATGCCTGTTGACAATTACATATTGTAACTGGAAGTGCTGGAGTCATTTAAAATATCTCAGAAATTTGCATGGCGGTCTGTGCTGACTGTACAATGTGCCAGAACCACCACTACAAAGACTTGACCAGCAAGCTATTAACTAAGTTACCTAACATTTGACTAAAGTTAGCTAAAAGCTAGTTTTCAGTAGTTTTCAGACAAATGCAAATGTCTACATATTGCGACAGACTTCCTTTCGTGTAGCTTAGTGACATCAAATTAATGCGCAGTAGCATTAGCTTGCATGTAGCAATGTTAGCATTAAGGCACACACATGAAACTAAGGCTGGCTATGGCGGTGTTCTGGCAAGTTGTGCTACCTTATCAAAATGTTCTACCGTAGCACATATTTACAGGTATACCTGTAAACAAAACCTCTACGTAGGATATTCTGATAGGCTAAAACTCATCAAAAATACTACCATAGATATGAAACGAGTAGGCCGTCATCAGGGGGCAGTAGTGTTGTATGACTGATTTGCATACTGTGGTGTGTCATGGTACTTTGGTATGAAGACCGGTCATCCGCACCTATAGCAGAGTTGGACCAGAGGGGCGCTGCAGAGGCGGGACTGACCATGATAAAAATTATATTTTTACAGTTTAGAAAGATGTTTTCACATTTTAAGCAAGGCTGGTATAGTTTATTACTCAGCAGTGCATTTAAGCTGATTTAAGTCTTAGGGTGTAGTTACTCTTTAAGGAGGCTGCCAGTCTAATGTTGTCAATTCAGATAGATAGATAGATAGATAGATTACTTTATTAATCCCAGAGGGAAATTCTTCTATTGCGGCAGTACAAAGCACAGTAAAGAGCATAATAAGAGCAAAATGAACAGGAGCAAAGTATTGCTGTACACTATTTACAGATATATAAAAAGAAAGTAGAGATAATTAATAGAATAAAATATACTAAGTAATTGCATGACTACTATGCAGAAGACAATGCTGTCATGCCTGTCCCTCCAGTGAATGAACTACTGGCTATGTACTGTAGAAATAAATGTTAACAGTTGTACAGTTTACCTTTAACATTTATGGATGAATAAACAAAGTGACAGTGCAAAGTGCAATATTAGTGGACAAATAAACAAAGTGACAGTGCAGTATGAGATTGAGGACAAAATGTATCGGGTTTTGAACATTTTTATCTACCACAGGGTGCAATAGAGGTGATTTTTCGAAAACCCTATTCATTCTGGCCATAGAGAAATCAAGCTTAGACCCAGAGTTCCTAATATGGACATAAGCGCATGGCGCCGACTACAAAATGACACAGGACTACAGTGGTCAGAGAGACAGGGTTTCATACGTCACAAACCTAAGGAACCAATCCCGTCCACTGACGGTTCGGGATTTCCATATCATTAGCATAATAATAAGGTGGAAGGGGTGTATCCGAGTCCGGTGTGGCTTGTGTGGTATTTTTTTTAAACGATGGCAGAGACATGTTTTGTATTCGGATGCAAAGTTAAAGGAGAAAATGTGAGCCTTCATATGTTGCCAAAGGATCTGAAAATCAGAGAAAAATGGGTGCAGTTTATTTGGAAAAATCGGATTGTCCCAGCCAAACTTCCAGAGAAAACTCGGGTTTGCAGTAGCCATTTTCCAGAGGACTGTTTTGTAAATTTTACTCAAAAACAGATGGGGTTTGCCACTAAACTCATATTGAGGCTGGACGCTGTTCCATCCATTTGTGCTGGGGACACAGCGAGTACGAGCCAACCGGTAAGTTTATTTTCTCGTGTTTTATCCGTTAACTGTACAGTAAATCTACGAAGCTGAAGTCATCTTATTTGTGAGCTTGTTGTTCGGATTTTCCCGTTCCACCTTAAATGGTACAGCAGTTACAGGAAAATTCGAACAAGGCGGCTTGAGGCGCCAGAATGTAACTGCTGCACCATTTAGGGTGGAACGGAAAATTCGAACAAAAAGCTGGCGGATCAGAAGCTGACTTCAGCCTCGTATAAAAGCTGCAACGTGCTAGATAATGTTAGATAACGTTAGCCTTAGAAAATGCATGAAGAAAGTTGGGGCAAACGTTACTTTAAAAGTGTGTCAGATAGCTAAGCTTGCTGAATTAGATGATGGCTTTATTCATTGCGATAATTCTGTCAGGAAAATTCATGGCTTTGGGGTCATGAAGAAGGCATGTCATGATAAAGGCCGTCCTCGTGAGCAGCTAGTATAGCGTTAGCTAATTCAAGTGCTCATAGGAGGAGGAGAAAGCTGCTTCTTTCTGACAGAAAGCCCTGAAGGCAAACTTCTATCTGCATATTCATAGATCCGCGCATAGTGGATGAAGGCAAAGGTGTAGAGTTATATCTAAACAACTTTTAAGGCATTAGGGTTTTTTTCCGTGGAGAATAACTTCAAAATATGTAATTGTGATTAACTGAGATGTTTTTAGGGATTTTATCGATGCCTGGAGAGGGTCTTTAAAATGTTCTTTCAATATTACTTTAAAACATTATTAGAACTTGTAGGTAACGTTAACCAAAGTTGTGGGAACGTTCCCTGCTGTCTGGGTTGCAACTTTTATTTATCACTGTATTTTGTACTTTTTTTCTTTGTATGGTAGCTACATTTAACCTTTGTTCTCCCTTTTTACTTTAAACAACATTGCATTTTACTTATTTACTTCATCGCTTGTGTGCTTGTCACGTTATTATGTACTTGTTGTATATAAATAAAAGATTATTATATTTAAACATCCCGGCAAACTATTTAATCTCCGGTCGTGATCTGGGGCTTTTATTCTGGAGGCCCAGAACGATAACCGTTTCTGTTTTCACAGACCGAAGATGCGACAAACCAAACTGTGACAGATTGACAACAGCTATCCGAGGCGAGTGTACATACCTTGCTAGGGCTCGTTAGAGCCTCATTAACACCCACCTTTGTCCCGGGACTGTAACGTGTTAGACGCAATCTTAGTTTTATGTAGCTTTATGTAGGTGTCTAGCGACATCGTTAGGTAGCTAGCTGCAGGGGTAAAAGCCTTTGTTCCGACTAGCGGCTCGACAGCTAACGTTGTAGAAAGCGAATTTAAAAGGGAAAATAAACTGGGCGAGTTATAGATGTGATCTGTCGATCACCGTCTGCGTCGCCCGTTAACGTTCTCAGGTTTTCGTAGTCAAGTACGTTAACGTTAGCTGACCAGCTACCATAGTTACCGCAACACGACGGATTTGTGTTAGCTAGCTTAGCAGCGTTACCTCCTCGGCGCTGGTGTGTTGCTGTAACGTTAGCTGGTGTTACTATGTCGAATGCGATCTTGTTGTTAAGCTAGTTAACTTTGTCCTCGTCCCTTGTAGGTTGCAATGGAGCAGTGTGAGCCACCACGCTTTGCTGAGTCGACGCGGGACCCTGAGGAGAGGCGTGAGGATGGAGATGAAGTCAGGGGTAAGAGTTTAACGACCACCGACAGCTACGACTGTCGTATCTGTGGCTATAAAGCAGCTGACGTTGGCTCGCTTAGCCATCATCTCCACTCTGTCCACCCTGTTACCTCGCTGCCCGGCCCGAGCTCACTAAAGGGGGAGAAACGTAGAAGGAAAGAGGAGGAGGCGGAAGATGATGCTGCTGCTGAGGATGATGTTGCAGCTGCACAGGCTCCTGATGTGGACGGAGAGCAAAGCCCAGAGAGACAGAAGAGCCCTCCTGTGGAAAACGTAAGTGTTTTTTATTTTTGTTTTTGTGCTGCAGCGTTGGTCTGTGGGTCAGTATAAGATGGCATCCTGCTCAGCTCTATACTGCTGTCATGTAGGCCTCTGTGTATTGTGTAAATTTTCAGGTAAATGTACAGAGAATGGGCTCCTACTCATGTTGTGGTTACAACTCATCCATGGACCTGCTTGAGTGCACTATTATTACATGAATATAATGGATTAATTCAGTGTTTTTTGCTCCACTGTAATCACAGCTGTAAGTTTGGACCATGTGTGCACTGTACAGCTAGGAAATCTGTAATTTAACAGGCCAGACCCAATCTCACTGCATTCATTTCCTATATGACAAAGCAGACGGCTTTAAGATTATGGCTGTAAGTCATTATATATGGCTCATGTGGTTAGTATATGTATTGTGTGAATTTTCTAGTTAGATAGATATTGATAGATAGATAGATAGATAGATAGATAGATATTGATATATTTTCCAGTAGTTAGGTGGCAGCTTTTGTGTTTTGTTTTTCTTTAGTTGCTTAAATAGTCAAATATTGGTTCCTGTTCTAGATTTAAATCTCTGAAATACCAAAGCAGGCCAGTTTCAGAGGTTTTAATGCAGCCCAAAATCTGACTGGATTACATCTAGCAAAGTAGTACTGGAGGTAGGCCGAGGTTTGCAAATAAGCATTTAATTGCAGTTATCTTCTGCAGTGCTTAATCATTTCATCACTTGACACACTTCCATATCTGACGTTTCCACTACTCCCCACAGCCTGAGCTTTCTGAGGGATCCACGTCTTCCTTACCCAAGGACTCAGAGGAAAGCAGCAGAAGTACCTGCATTGTGGAGAACCAGGTACCAGAAGTGGAGCAAATGGAGACTGCGAAAAATGCACCAGCCGACAAGGCCAGCCAAAGTCCAGTTCCTGCCTCCGTTTTGCCTCGGAGGAAGGCCTCATGCTCTTCAGGGTCTAGCAAAGGAAACCAAAGTGAGAGCACTGCATCTTCCGGCACGTCCAGCCTCAACCGGACGCACTTAGTGTGTCTGCCACTGGTGTCTGAGGGGCTGAAGCTGGTGTGGGTGCGCTCTGAGCAGACTCATGAGCTTGATGCTGTTTCTGAGCTTGTAGAGGCT